CCATTCCTTTAAGATCAATAAGCTTTTACCCGGAATACAGGCAGACCTATACTTAAAGTGGTCACCAGTGATCGTACTGTATCTACTGACATTTATAAGGTCCTCCTCGCCGCCGAAGTACTTACCTACGTAACAATACCCAAGTACTTTGTCTCTGGAGTGACTTTGTAATGAGAATGGAGATCATAGAATGGCAATATTGAGATTAATGTATATAACTTTGGCCCTAAAACACAACGAGACTATTAAATTAAGAGAGTTCCAGAGGCTATTATCACAAAGGTGCGTCTTGTCAGCTTGAACACGTCTCCACAATAGTAATTATGCACGCCCGAAAATTAACACATCCCACACTTTGGGTCTTCTTGATTAAAATAAAGCCATGGAAACAGAAGGAAATTAGAACTTACCTCAAAATTGGGGAGTTCTGTCCCACGAAGAGTACAATCGCCTACCTGTAATGACACGAAAGCAAATTGTTCATTTGCACTTATCGCATTATCAAAATAATTATAACATTTTAATCCATTTTTATCACATTTTAATGGCAAATGAAGATGACTTTTGGGATCTAGGAGTTACTTACTTTATGCTGTAGGTTGTGGACGCTGGTGACCTCGTCTAGGAAGGTCAGACTCCGGAAACACTGCTTGCAACATGCTCCCATCCACAAATCTTGCAAGACGTCGTAAACACTCAACAGAAGACGAGAAACACTGAACGAGGGATTGGAGGTGCTGACAAGTATGTTATTTTGCCTCAGTCGTAAACGGCTGTTTTCGACTGGTGTTTCCTATAAAACACTAAACTCTCCAGTCAACACTTAGTCACGAACAGAAGTCGCGGCGTTCCTTGCCCAAGTTTCTTGTTTATCCCTCCCACTGATAAGAATGCACGTTTAGGACCTTTCTAAAACAAGGAACGATTAATTTAGGTTTCCGTACCCATAATAACACATTACAACATCCGGACCGGACTGAAACTCACTGTGACAACGCTTGCTGCTCTTATCAGCCAGTTGTGGCTGGTGAAGGTTTTCCATTAACACATTAAACGTGGCCGCCACTCTCGTCGCCTCACGTCCTTCACTATGTATGGTTAACTTTTCTGTGATTTAACCCGCTGATGTAACAACCTGTCCTCAGCTCAGTCTCGTTAAAGCGGTGGCAGTGTCCCAAGACGTATTCATAAATTTTAACATTGTGTATTATGAATAAGTTCGTGATATCTACATTCATATTATACTTTAAAATTCAATTTTTTTAAGTATGGCAGGATATTTATGCTCTGTTTGCGATTATTTGTATTAGAAAATGTTTGTGAAGCATTGCTGGTCAGAGAAGCATTGTTCGAGAAATATTTGAACGTCATCGGTTGTGAGTCAAGTGTAACCCGTTTTCCGTTCATAAATAGATGGTTGACGTGTGGAGTAACTAACATTTGCCCTTTGTTGATAAAATGACGAGCTGGGAAGTAAAAAGGTAACAGTAAAAGGTAATAGTACTCCTGAGTTTCAAATTAACCTGCCCATAACTATATTCGATACTATGAGGGGTTTCAACACATCCCAGTATCAAAACCTTGGACAAATATTTCGCTCGTTACTTCTCGTTGAAGCACAATTAACTCTTTAAACAGCTCGTCCTCCTAAACAATAGCTAAGAGATCATTTATTCATCCGGCAAACCGCCTGCTCATTGATGAAAGAATACTACACACGACTCACTTAACAAAAGATACTACACACGGACTTTTCTTGAGCCCTGCTACACTCACGTCATCTGTTCGAATCGCACCACTATAATTGTTTCACTCACGTACTGTGCAATCCCTCCTCATAAAAAAAGTCACATGTCCGTTAACCCAGCCGCCAAACCCCCTGTTTAAGAATGAAAAACGGTTTACACACGACTCACAACTGATGACGTCCGAAAAAAGTCCGCAATAAGTGCTTCCCTGACGACATCTGTTCGAACCACAATGTCATGAATGCAGCTCTCCTCCAAACAAAAACCCAAAAGTGATTCCATGCACCCGCCAAACCTCCTGTTTATATATGAAACACGGTTTACAAACGTCTCACAACTCATGACGTTCGAGCAATTCCGGAACAAGTGTTTCACTGACGAATTTTGTTCGTACCACAACGCTGTAAATGCTTCATCCACGCACTACAAATACAAATAATCGCCAACAGAACCTAAGCATCTAACCTAACCTATGCCTATATATGCACAATATGATAATATATTAGATATTAATTTATATTTGAGAAAATTCCTGTTTTTAATGAAAAGCATGTTAAAATTTATGAATGCGTCTGTGGGGTCGACCGCTTGACGGAATGGACTTGAGTCGAGGACGGGTTGGAAAAGCTTCACCCACGTACTACAAATACAAATAATCGCCAACAGAACCTAGACACCTAACCAAACCTAATCAACGTCTAATTATACATAGAATTTTATTGTATAATAATATTAATTTATATATGAGAAAAACTATTTTTAATACACAGTATGTTAAATTTGATGAATGCGACTGGGGAGGACGGCCGCCTCTTTAACTAACCTAGTGTGAGGACGGGTTGTACTATGCATACAAATAATTGCCAACGTGTAAACTAACCAGTTTAGACTTAATTGTTCACAACTTTTAATTTATACTAATATTAGTTTACATTTGAGCCGCAGGAGGGACGAGGAAAGTCTCGTGAAGTTGCTCTTCCAATTACTTCCGTGAATCAAGTCATCAAGTCGTTATCTACGAGTAGTGAAGACTGTGTTGTGATGAGTGTGAAGGAAATATGAAAACTATAAATAGTTTAACAACTGCCGCTTGATTAGGAAATCAAGTGGCCAGTCACAGGGACGAATAGATGTTGTGTCATAATGGGGAGGGGTACGTGAGATGATCCTTCCATGTCTAGTAAGATCCTAAAATTGCATTGTTATCAGAGGGGGCATTAACTATAAATGAAGTCTGGAAACGCTACTATTTCTTTACGTTTTTAAGTGTTGATTCTGGAGAGTTAGCGACTTGTGGGAAACACCAGTGGAAGACAGGCCTATACTGCTGTTGCAAAACTACATAATATTCAACAACTCTAATCCTTGGTTTAGTGTTTCGTAAACACTTGTGCTGAGTGTTAACGACGTCTTGGAAGGTTTGTGGATGCGAGCATGTGTCAGGCAGTGTTTGTACTCTGTACGTATAATTTGTTCGCTAGGGACCATAACGTACAAAATGAGACGTACAGGTTGAGAGGACGGGTTGGAAATATATTATCACTGATGAACGTGAATGACCAAGAGTATGTATAGTCTGTTTGTGAGGGAATATGAGGTGGCGCAGGAAATGTTGTGACAGGTAGATTGTAACTTGTTTGTGTGTGTGTGTGTGTTTGGACGTAGATGCTGGTTTTCGGGAAGGTAAAGAAAAAGAGTGCGTGCGTGCGTTGAAAATGAGAGGTATGCCTAAGCTGCTCTGTAGGAGAGGTAGACGGTACACACTGCATGGAGATTAGTGGTGCGGATTGTGTGTGTGGGGGGGGGGGGGTAATATTGACTGAAGACTATGTGTGTTGGGGGAGGGGAAAGAGCAGATATATGACTGTGGTGGAAGGTGGATTTGTATACAGAGTGTGTGTGTGAGGGGGTGAGGGGGGAAGGGGGGGCGCAGGAATGAGAAAGAGACTGCTGGGAGAGGTAAATGAATCGGCTTAAATCCCACAAAGCCAATGCGTACATTGATTACGGTTAAATTGTTGATTTCTATCGATTGTAGAAACGATTAGACAGATAAATTCCGTAAGAGTTGAAATCTGGACGATCGGCCATACAGCTATTCAGATCGATCTGTAATGAAATAAATTATTTTAAATTAAATATATATATATATATATATATATATATATATATATATATATATATATATATATATATATATATATATATATATATATATATATATATATATATATATATATATATATATGTCGTACCTAGTAGCCAGAACGCACTTCTCAGCCTACTATGCAAGTCCCGATTTGCCTAATAAGCCAAGTTTTCATGAATTAATATATTTTCTCTATTTGTTTTCTTATGAAATGATAAAGCTACCCATTTCATTTTGTATGAGATCAATTTTTTTTTTATTGGAATTAAAATTAACGTATATATATGACCGAACCAAACCAACTCTACCTAACCTAACCTAAAGGTTAGGTTAGGTAGCCGAAAAAGTTAGGTTAGGTTAGGTTAGGTAGGTTAGGTAGTCGAAAAACAATAAATTCATGAAAACTTGGCTTATTAGGCAAATCGGGCCTTGCATAGTAGGCTGAAAAGTGCGTTCTGGCTACTAGGTATGACATATATATATATATATATATATATATATATATATATATATATATATATATATATATATATATATATATATATATATATATATATATATATATATATATATATATATATATATATATATATATATATATATATATATATATATATATATATATATATATATATATATATATATATATATATATATATATATATATATATATACATATATATATATATATATATATATATATATATATATATATATATATATATATATATATATATATATATATATATATACAGTATACATTGTTTTACACCTGGCTAATGAACAATGAATTTCCCCACAGTCGTTAGCAGCACTCTCCCACGAATGGAATACCAACATAATGCCAGTCTTCCTCTCCGGATGTTCAGGAGTGCAATTCCATAATAATCAGACTCCCATTCAATGCAGCAGAAGGATCGATGCTCAGGCAGCAGCGGCAGCAGCAAAGCCTTAATGACCTCCTAGCTGAGAGAGAACGTATACATCAGCTCAAACATTTTTAACTTTTACTTGGGACTAGGATAAGCTTTAGACACAGGATGATCTGAAGAGTTCAGAATTATGGATAGAGAAAAGAACGAGGAGAGAAAAAAATAGAGACAATGAGTGTGGAAGAGTAAGAAGAGGGGATAAATATCTGCAGCATAAAAGATTACATGATGATCCTTACTAATACCTAAATTCTATATTTAGAGAATATTACATAAATCAAAAGTTTTGCTGATGATTCTGGCTGAAGTTCCAGGCAGTTGTGGTCTAAGACAGGAAAAGCTTCTAGCTCTGAATGCACATGTTTTTGCAATTTAATTTTCCAACAACTGGAACTATTAAAAGTCTGAAGCACTAAAAGTTGAAAGGAGATTTGCAGTTTTAACTGCTTTAATTCATTATTATTACTAAATTTTTGTCATTGCATCTGATTGCTATTTGTATGCAAATTTTCTGTTAACTGTTACTTCAGTGGGTGTGAATCTGCTAACTCTGTGTATCACACCTTGTCTCTAATGTTGGAAAATTGTAAACACAAGAAAGAACTTTACAATCATTCTTCTTTCACAAATAATCTGAATTATTAAGATGCTGCCAAACATCACAGATAAACCAAAAATATAATAAAATCACTTAGGAGTATAAAAGAACCTCCCATCTACCATCTGGCTCTGTTACACAACCCTTCATCACCTGCTTCTCCCACACTATCTGGCTCTCTCAAACCACCTGGCTCTCACAAACCACCTGGCTCTCTCAAACCACCTGGCTCTCACAAACCACCTGGCTCTCACAAACCACCTGGCTCTCACAAACCACCTGGCTCTCACAAACCACTTGGCTCTCACAAACCACCTGGCTCTTACAAACCACCTGGCTCTCACAAACCACCTGGCTCTTACAAACCATCTGGCTCTCACACACCACTGCTCACCACCTAGCTCTCTCCACACCACTCTGCACTACCTGGCTCTCCTTCGCCACCCTGAACCATCAGGTTCCAAGGGCAATCCTCCACTATTTGTCTCCTCCACGCCACCTGTGAACCTGCCACCCCTGCATCTACCATTATTTTGGAATAATTAAATTATAGATAAATTTGTTGTTGCCAAGACCAGAAATAACGAATGTGCTAATCTTTCTAGTGATGTAGTAACATCAACAAATCTAATATCTATGTAGTAACATCAAGAATATCTATTAATATATTTTCAAGTTCAAAATGAGGGGGTAAACGCAAACGTTAGAGCCCCGATATCTACGATTTTGGTCCTGGAGGAAATTATGCGTAGTTCATTACGCAGCAGCTGTCTCATTGTCAACGTAGCTCATGCAGATGCCGCTTTACCCCCGACAATATAGCTGATATAACTTGTAGGATGAAATAGGAAAACATACATAACAAGCTAACACACGGGAACATACATGCACACGCAAACGTACATTCATACACACATACAAACGCACGTACATGCACATACACTCTCGTAAAAACGCACAAACACATTCGAAAATGTACACATGAATGCACATGCAAGCACACGTAAACAGACATGCAAAAAACTAACAAAAGCACACATATAAGCCATTGGCTTTGCCTTGGCCTAAAATCTACAGACATAAAACACCTGAATTTTGCTTCCAAACACCAATATGGATTCAGCGAGGGAAAATCCTGTTTGACTAACTTATTACAGCTTGACGAAAAAAAAAGTCAAGGCAATCCGTTGGGAAAGGGAGGAGTGAATATATTACATCTTTTTATTTGCCAATAAGTATTTGACGCTCTCTAGCGCAAAAATATTTTATTTGAGCTGGAGAAGCAGGTTGGGATATTTTGGAAAAGTGTTAAGTTGGGTGAGGAAGTACCTCTATGGAAGGAGACAAAGAGTCAGAGTGAGGGGGTGGGGGAAGATACAGGGTACAGGAATTAGGACAGTAAGTGAGTGAAGAAATACTAGGGCCTATCATTGTCCAATATCTATCATCGATCTGACAGGGTTATTGGTTCTTTGATACAATTGGTTTGTTGATGCTAGGAAAATATATTAATATGATAACAAATAGAATTGTTTCGAGTAAAGCTGGAACAACATTATAATATGCGGGAAAAGTCTCCTCCAGAGATTGGACTTTGTACAGTAATACTAACAGATACAGATGAAACGGGGCTATCTCCAGGGCCGTGTCGATACAACTGCTCTGGAATCTCATTGAATATCACCATGGGATCAAAAATAAGCAGATGAAAATTCTTCCGAAACCACTCGCAAGGATCTTTAGTGCACAACTAAATGCAGGAATAAAGTCAAATTATTTAAAAAGGCACACATTATAACAGTGCATAAGATGGGTTTTTACTAGAACAAATTAACTGTAAACTTGTGTCATTAAAAAAGCATAACAGGCAAAGTGCTAACGAAAATATGGACGACAATATGAGAACGTCCAGAAATAGTTAACTTCATAATAAAACATTAACACTCATTCAGATTCGAAAAATCATGTAAAACTTAACGAGTTCAGTCATGAAAACATAACATAAACAAACAGTAAGGATATATAAAGGAACTGCAGAAGTGAATTGAACACCAAATGAATCCATAAAAGTTTCTTCCATACGTATCTCTAAAAGAATACTTGACCGGAGACGGATAGGATAAGAATATTTTCATTACACGTCATATAATTAGGCATAACAGGCATAATAGACATCCGAAAGAGTGACAACAGAATTGTTCAAAAGCCAAGAGGTATGAGTTCTGTGGAAGGACTAAAAGAACTAAACTTAATTTCACTGAAAAACACGTGAAATAAGGAAGGCATGATCACCATATAAAGCATAGAAGATTGAAAGGGTAGACAAGTCTGGAAATTTTAAAGTGGTGGTAAACTAGAAAGGAAAACACATGTGGAAACTAAGTACCTGAATTAGTCACAATACTTTTAGGACGAATCTGTTCATTTTCCGAGTAGTAATGAAATAGACTGAACTAGGAAGTGTAGTGATAACGACTTTAAATTAAAAATTGCATAAAATTTTTATTAAGACATATCTTCGATTTTACCTTAACGACGGGCAGATTCCACACTAACCCGCCAATAGCGTTCCTACAACGATATCTATTAGCTCTACAAGCAGGTCGTATTCAACCCTAACTGCAAAAAAGAGCCCAAACTGTTTAGGGAGCTTTTGACTGGTTCCCCATAAGGTGAGAAGCGAGATCCAAGCAGATGAAGGTGTAGACCCTCCCATATTTTGCTCCTTGGTTATGAGCGATTTACAAAACATCAAACGCTGTTAAGCTTGAACACGTTTGCCAATACATACATTCGTGTCAGGTGCTCGTCAATTGAGATTTCCCTGCATAATCTGAGCTAAGCTGGGCGTGTCTCTACTGAAAAGTAAAAAAAATATTTTATCAACTTAAATGAATGTACAGCGTTCTATAACATTTTGATGTCATTTATGTTATTTGTACTGTATTTTCGTTTTAAATAAAATGTCTTGGTATTGATATAACGTTAAAACAGAAATCTCACAAATAATTTTGGCTTTAAACATTGAGATCTGAAGAACTCAGGTCAGAGAGATTCAAGAAAAGTTAAATTGTCTACCTGTATGCAATGATGCGAGACAATGGCTTCAGAGAGCTATTAAGATGCAATAGAAATGATATTGGTGATGATTTAACCGGTCGCACCGGTGGGAACAGGTCTATCATTGATGGTGACATTTTTCCTCTCGTAGCTTTATCTTTACAAAACTGGACCAAACAGGGTGCTATATTTAGTTCTTTATTGCTAACTGACAATCTTGATCCAGTGTTGGTAGAGTTAAGTATCAGTGGAGCAGACTGTCGCATACGCATTAAAAAAATTTTTTTTTATTTTACTGAGTTAATGATTTAGTTCCTTCATCAACACCAAAAAAGTTATGAAAAGATAGTAATATATGAAAAGGACAGTTCTAAATAAAACTGCGTTTGATTCTGTCAAGTGTGAAGTACTCATATCCAGATCTTATATTAAAACTACAATATTCTGAAGAAATCTTGGCAATATTACATTCTTAAACATAAAAGTTTTTAGGACTTGGCCAAATTTAAGCTTGATTGTGTGAGAAGTAAATTTGTAATACTATTTGTCTAAAGAGTCCGTCCACAAATCACCTGTTTCTTTTTTTGCATCTGTGAACATGCCTCTATCTGTCCTGCAACTTCTGATTTAATTGTTAAGTACACAAGAAAGAAAGAATTTGTACCAGCTCCTGTCATTGCGCCTCCAGGAAGTATGTTCCAGCATTGCTGATGTAGCAATGAATTGCTACATCAGCAATTCATTGGTACACTGTAAAGACCATGGGGCACTGACCGGGTGATGCCGGTAGAACATACAAGTAATTCATATCGGTTTCCTGTGCTGGCAATGTGTTGGGAGAGAGTGAACTATTGGTCAATAACTGAAGCATTGCCCTGTCGCATTATTAATGTTTAAGATCAGGCACCCTAAATCCCTCACGAGCAATGGACAAATCTGATCTGGCAGTGAATGTTAATCTGTGTACTAATCACAAAGTATTTTCGGCATTAAACTTCAATTTAAAAAAAAATATTTTATTTAATAACAAAATTAGTCATAAAAATTCAAATTAAAGTATTTATTAGGTAATAATCAGTCACGTCACATGTTAGCATACAAAAATTAAATGTAGCTCCTAGCTATAACACACGAACTCATGTTGCACTTAAACATTGAGATAAATTAAATCCTCATAAAACCACACAAAACATAGAGTAAATCATCTTTAGTATTTTTTATTGGTCCAGCCAATACCGTCGCACCGACTATGAGTGACTATTTTTGCCCTGAGATCTCTACCTCATGTGGCATAAATTATGTCGCTTCATTTTAAATGCAGGAGGACGTATGTACTTAAAAGCTGACTATTCTGTCTCTAGGACACTCAAGAAGAAATTAAAATGAAACGTAGAACAATGTAAATACAAGTGTTTATGTATTACAGTTTGGGAAACTTTCAAATGAGTTGATTAATATTATTAATTGTATAGTAAATTGTTATTGAAATATAGTATACACACACACACACACACACACACACACACACATGGGGTTGATATCATGCCAGACCTGTCCCCTGAAGCTCATATCAAGAGGATGACATCAACGGCATATGCCCGGTTGGCCAACATAAGAATGGCCTTGAGAAACTTGTGTAAGGAATCTTTCAGAACTATGTATACCACATATGTCAGACCAATCCTGGAGTATGCGGCCCCAGCATGGAGTCTATATCTAGTCATGCTTAAAACTAAACTGGAAAAAGGTTCAAAGGTTTGCCACCAGACTAGTACCCGAACTGATAGGTATGAGCTACGAGGAGAGACTACGGGAATTTAACCTCACGTCATTGGGAGACAGAAGAGTTAGGGGGGGACATGATCACCACATACAAGATTCTCATATAAATTGATAGGGTAGATATAAACAGACTATTTAATTCCAAGAGCACACGCACTAGGGGACACAGGTGGAAATTGAGTGTCCAAATGAGCCATAGAGACATCATAAAGAAATTTTTCAGTGTCAGAGTAGTAAACAAATGGAATGCATTAGGAAGTGATGTGGTTGAGGCTGACTCCATACACAGTTTTAATGTAGATATGATAGAGCCCCGTAGGCTCAGGACCTTGTACATCAGTTGATTGGCAGTTGAGAGGCGGGACCAAAGAGCCAGAGCTCAACCCCCGCAAGCACAACTTGATAAGCACAACTAGGTAAGTACACACATGCAATCACACTCACAATGTCTATAGGAACATAACTTTTTTAAACTGTGGGTTATGGTCCACATCGGAAACTTTATAAATATATTTTACTGAATAGAATTACACGTATTCTCTCTTTACTGATTTTTTCT